ATGAAATTTAACTCAAACGATATTATGAAGTACAACACAATAATAATAGGACATTGAACATAGTCTTGTTCCGTTTTGGCTTGAGTAGCGAGCCTAATTTCGGTTCGGGTTGCAGCATTCAAGGCTTCAGATACATTGTCAAAACGTTCAAGGGAAGACATGGTTAAAACATTTCCAAACTGGAGACATAGGTGACAAATCCCCATGGCCAATGCAATCCACTATATTGACTTGTATGTTTTCTTGTGTTTCTGGCGAACAATTAACTTGGCACTGCAAGTGTTTGTGACGAATGTCACTGTGTGGTGATATCCACTCCTTATACGAACACCTGGTATCATCACAGTGATTCATGAACAAAAACGTATTATATATATAGTAGGGATTGTCATACGGATGTTACTTTCGGCCAAAAAAAATCGTATGACTTTGGAAATGGCGCTTTTCCCTTTTATCCCTATAGATGTGAAATCTCGTACCGCTACGTCATGCGATGTCAACTTATTGGTCGCTGCAGAACTATTCTTTGCAATAATCTATATACATTGTGTACGAGACTAAGACCATGCAAATGTGGATTTTATTTTATTTAACAATGCAAACGTTACATTTGCTCAAAATAATCATATCCTCAAAGAAATGTAATTGCTGTTCGCGAGGACAAAATGGCTTGTGTGTGTAGCAGACCCATTTCATATCGACTAAAACTGGTTTCATTGCCTCCTTTCTGGCTGAGAAAGTCAGATAGATTTACAACTTCGATAAATCACCCACCCTTAAACCACCAGTACACCATCAAAAATCCTATCTATAAACGTTTGAAAAAATGAAATTCGATGTGTAAACAAATTGGAAAAACAGTTCAATCAAAGTGTTATATTTGAGCAAAGTTCACTAACTCCCTAACACTCTCAGGTCCGATTTAAAACAGGCATAGCGTCTGACATTCCCATATAGATAACCATGGGTGTGAGAATCGATCCAATCACAGCACTGTATCGATGGAACGTGAAAATCATCATTAACTCCCGGGAGCCAAAGTCGGAAAATAGCCAATTTAAAACTGCACCAAGCTCGCCTATATTTATCAACTAGAGCGTCGTTTGGCTAACAAGCTATACTAATAAACTACCAATTTATGAGCAAACAAACTAATTCTTCAATAAACGGGGTCGCCTGTGCCCTTTAAGAAGGGTTCGCCCGTCTTCCGCCAGAGAATCATTCATGCTGGAAGGGTATTGATTTCCTTAACTGTTTTCTCAATAAATCCATATTGTTGTTACTAAAGTAACTAAATACTTTCTAGTCAGTTACGCGAAGAGATGTTTTTATGTAAAGGGAGATAACCGCCTACGTAGTGAATAATAAACTTGATTTATGATGAGTAATGATTGGCTGAACTAGAAATCCCTATTTCTCAAACATTATATAGTTATGATGATTCAGCAAAAAACATCATTTGCCTAACTTGTTATGTGTGGGGATGATGAGTTTTTGGGAAACTTTTCAGACACAATTTACTTGTCTTCACTGGCCATGCATTTAATGACACAGACAAACTCAAGGGACTGATCAGCGTCTATTTGAGAAGTGTTCTTTGGGTAATTCCGACATATTATATTACCAGGGTCTGCCCTGGTCAACTGGTTATCCCTGCAATATAAACGCCAGTAGTTACCATGTTTACAAAGCATTACTTGGGTGAAGGGATACATTAAACTACTAAACTATGAAGTGGCTTGAGTGAAGGAAATGGATGGTAGGACTGGGATTTTAGGCAATTTTCAGTTATGTTCTATTTGCGGTTTTTTATGATGAAGGGTGCAGTCCGGAAGAAACTGGTCTTTAGCAACTTTACAAAAACTAATTCAGGGAACACAGCAGTGGTCAATTTTACCATTTGAAACTTGACGCGGGATAAGTACAAGGACAATTTCTTCTTAAGAAACTTTAGATGGGACAAGAATTGCTGTCAATTTAAACTGATGAAACTTGAGTGGGGCAGCTGGGTGATTAATTTCATCTCATGATTTAAACGCATTGAATCAAGCTTTTGGGGCCAGAATATTATTGCCAGATTATCCAGTATCAACATCTACATTGTGCCATAAGTAACCAAACAGAACAAAATCATGATAACTTCCGACCGGCATTCATACTTCATTAATCATAAATTATCTAGCAACTACATATACCCAACAAGACATTTACAATGCAACACAACACAACCAGCATCCTCCACATGGAAAATATTAATGTGAGTGAGTAAGGTTTTACGCTGCTTTTAGCAATAATCCAGCAATATCACGGCGGGGGACACCAAAAATGGGCTTCATACATTGTACCCAAGAGGGGAATCGAACCGTGTCTTCGGCGTGAGGAGCGCACGGTTTAACCACTAGACTACCCCACCGTCCAATAATGATATGAAGAATCATTAGGTCACTAGATGTTCTTTGTGACTTTCCGGGTACATAGGTATGTGTTGCTGACTTAATGTATTGTTTACGAAAAACATTATATGATTTCAAAATTAGATTCTGTTTTTAATGTATCATGTAATTTTCCCGATTTGAAAATAGTATGAAGTGATACATTTTATACTTTTCTGTTTCTCTGCTGTCATACCTCAAACATCTTAAATAACAAGAGCCATCAGAAAATGACAAATCCCCCCAGCCCCCATAAATTTGAAAGAACAAATCAACTGACAGTTACTTAAAGTCCAACTTGATTTTTTTTGACTAAGTCCAAATTGTTTCCATGGAAATCATGAAAAATAAAAACGTCAAAAATCTGCAAATAGCAAAAGACAATACTTCAAGATCTGATTGATATACCTGTCAAGTCTTGTAAAAAAATATTGAACTGTTTTCGAGTTGTGATCCGGAACAAAACCCACCCCTCCCTTTTGAGACTAAGTCCGAATCGTTTCCATGGAAACCGAGAAAAATAAAAATGACAAAAATCTGTAAATAGCAAAAGACACCACCTTAGGTTCTGTTTGATATATCTACCAATGTTTGTTGAAAAATATTGAACGGTTTTTGAGTTATGCTCCGGAAACAAAATGATTACTGACGGACGGACGGACGGACGAGGCGACGACTACATGCTGGGGGGGATAAAAATATTTGTTTCTCTCTAAATGAAGTTCTCCGCCGTGATGTTGCTGGAATATTGCTCACAGCTGCGTAAAATAAACTCACTCTCTCTAAATGAAGTATTGCTGATACAGTTTGTTGCAGGTGTGTCTCTTGAAGAAAACTCAACAATTTTCTCGCCATGTCAATTAGGATTGAAGCCTATCGATGTAAACATGGTATACCGATAGACTCACTGCTGCGCTATCACATAATTATTTTACGATTAATCTACTTAGTGCTTTTTATGCCGTGACACCAACCAAATACGCCCAACGTAAACCGCAAACGACTACGCCCGTGCTATCGCAAACCATTGAAGCAAAACGAATTGTTGTTCCAGCGCAACGGATGTATTGGTTTCTGAGCATCCCCTCCTTCTTCGCGTACCGTCTCCCAGCTTCGCTGCTCAGCTACCGCTCCAGAAATTGATTACCCGGTCATTACTGATATAATTGAAGAAATTGGATCGCCCCATTCACTAAAGGACGGAGACGCAGGAACCTAGAGCCCTTCTCCGGCCTGTTCCCGGGTAGATAAAGCCAGTGAAAACCATGCCTAACCTACTTGCTGTCATTGTAACAAGTCGATAAACTGTGGTGGAGATGAGCTAGTTAGGTCCAACAAGGCACGAGTACTGCAGCGTCAGTATGGTCATTTTAAATGGTACAGGAAACCATTTTTTTACCCCATAAGTGTGCAAGGTCCGGATAATTGATGTTTAAATGTAAAAAAATAACATGGTTGTGAAATACGGAACAGAACCTATTAATTAAAAATGTAAAAAATATATATCTTAATTCGGAAATTACGAATTTCGGAGGATTAGAATAGAAACCCTTTTTCTAAGTTACCTTACTACTAGTATATATTGCTTCACTTGGAACACTCTACCTTCCGGATAAACAAAGTTTCACTGTATTTCATATTATGATAGATGCATTATTCAAATTAAAGAGCGGCTTAGTTGATGTCAGTCGTAACAAGTTTGATGTAAATCTGTCAAATACCGTTTGGATGGTATTCATTCACTCTCACAGTCTTGCTGACGAGAGACACATACAGGATAACTTTCTTATCACATTGAATTCATGGTACTACACAGAGAGCTGATAGCCACTTAAGAAGCTATCTCTACCATTCATATGGAATGTCCATGTATGTGTAAACGATCCCTGCAGTCTCGAAATAAGCAAAAACATGTTTCATTTATAAAGCTGTATAAATGTATAGTTTTACCCAAATGTAAGAGTAATTAAAGAAATGGTCCTATGTTAAGTTTGTGAAACGACTTCTCTTGTTTCTTGTAACCAACTCATCATATTCATTTATATCTTCACGTTTTTATGGCAATTTGCTTGCTGCATCCTGATCTTTCAGCAGCAAGTGAGATTGACAGGGGACTGTAGCAACACAACAATGTGAAACCACAACATCAGGTGCATGTCATTCTCACGTAAGTTCTCTTTCAATGCACATCGCCGACTACCAGTTTGAAGTGAGTGAGTGAGTGAGTTTAGTTTTACGCCGCACTCAGCAATATTCCAGCTATATGGCGGCGGTCTGTAAATAATCGAGTCTGGACCAGACAATCCAGTGATCAACAGCATGAGCATCGATCTGCGCAATTGGGAACCAGTTTGAAGGAGAAGCTCAGTTAAAACACATTACAGCATATTTTGCCTTCAGCAAGCATTAACGTATGGAATTACTAGCGGTATGTACACATTTGCATAGGAGGAACTGGTGGCTGTGCTGTTTACCCTACAACTAGCTCTGTATCTACACCGCCGCATCCCCTAACCACGGGAAGCGGTAAAACATACTCCGGCTTAATTACAGGTGTTGAAGTCTTACCTGTAGATTCCGTGGAGGAGTACTATCCTATATTCTCCCCGGGGTGTCGGGCGGGCAAGATGAGGGGGCCGTGTGTTCAGAGCACGATCTGAAGATAGAGGTAACGGGAGATGTTTTATACAAGACTCTGTAGTGGCTCTTCCCAAGGGATTTCTAGACTTACTGAGGGTCTCTGATTCATTGATTGTCTCGGTATGACTGAGAAAAGATGGTGTGGAAAGCAGAACACTAATGTAGAAAGAATTTCAGGACCACGTTATTGTTTCATACCAAAGTAGATACTCTATCATGGCATGACTCACATTCGTAATATGAAAAAATTGGTTTACTTTCATTCTGACTACATCTCAGTCTGCCTACATCTCATTCTGCCTACATCTCATTCTGCCTACAGACATAATAAAAGTGTAGGCAGAATGAGAAAAATCAGGCCTCCCCTAATTTAGAAATGGACTTGCCCATGACAATAACATAACACAACCTTGATTGTATTCATATAATATTTATAGTAGATAACATGATATATATGAAATATAGACATTTGTATACAAGAAATCTCATATTTCCCTTTCATTATCATCATTATTATAATTGTAATGACATCATCATCATCATCATCAATCTACAGTTTCAATTTCAAGAGATGACCAGAGGCATCTAAATACTGAAGCTTTGTCCTTCGACCTTGATGAAGGGCCTCCTTTAGTCTCTACAAACAACAATCAAGTTCGTGATACACTCGTTTTCTGCCATTCGGTTTACCACCATGCTCCAGCTGAATTTTCTTCTTTAGCTGTAGGCAGCATGAGAGGACACCAAAGAATTGGGTGGCCCTTAACTTGTTTTGATTAGTATTTGTACAAGTAAGAACTTTAAAACTTAATACAGAAGTGTTTGTGATGTAGAATAGTATAACTTTGATGATGTTTGTCGTGTATTGTTCATTTATTTAATAAATACGTCAGTAAATAATAAAAAAAAATTCTAGATTGATAGACATATATATTTGTCACCTCTCAATATATGAAGTGTATTTTTACAGAAACCGTTTCATATATTTATAATACGACGACATGAAGTTTATCTCATATACATGTCCACTGAAAATACTATTCATGTTTATACATTGGAACAATAACCATATGTTAAATAACAGGTTTGTTGGATGGCAATCATTATCATCGACCCAGCTGTTGTCGACTGCCAGTGACAACGTGCGAAATAACCAGTATGAGTTTAATCTCCATGTAGAAATTACGTTAGGTCCCAGAGGATATCATTTTTCACCCGTGAAGGTCCGGGTTAGAATGAACCTTCAGTAACCCATGCTTGTCGTAAGAGGCGACTAACGGGATCGGGTGATCAGGCTCGCTGGCTTGGTTGACGCATGTCATCGGTTCCCAATTGCGCAGATCGATGCTCATGATGCTGATCACTGGATTGTCTGGTCCAAACTCGATTATTTACAGACCGCATGTCATTGAATATGTCATATTGGGACAGTGGATTAGTCTAGTGGTTACGGTGTTGGCCTGTTGGGTCGAAGGTACGGGTACGATCCCTGACAGGGAAACAACGTTTGAAGTCCTCGACCATTTCTGGTGTGATATGTATAGTTGGAATAAGGGTCAACAATACCCAACCAACTCAATATGTAATAAATCAATAACGATTTCCACGAAGGTACGATTAACGAAGAAGCCAATGAATGGCATCACAGCGTAATATCATACAGATGCACTTAGTATAGTACTTTGTGATACAATCGGAAATTTGTGAAAAAATATACGTAGACACCCGCAAGTCCCCATGAACAATCCAATTATTGTGAACTATCAGGCTCAAAATAGATCGATATGATATTAGAAACAAAACAGTTCCTCAGAGAATAACAAGAGGTAAACATATTACAGAGTGGAACTGATAATAGTAACATTACACTTAATGAAAACGTACAAAAACCATAATGTTTTAGAGATGAACACTCGAAGGCTCTGAGCAGGGGTGTAATTGTAGACAGCTGGCATTACATCTAGTCACCGTGCTACATGTACTTACTGTATACCAACAATCACCGGGAGCAAGTCTAGATGGACATTCTGGGGTAATCAGCCTACAAACCTACAGAGCTACGCCTCGCTAGCCAGATGAGGATGCTCCGCTAGACCAAGGCGTATCCTGAACGCCAGATACTCCCGCGTGCACAAGTGAGAAGCCACACCCCAACACAACGGCGAGAACCCTCACAGGTAGATAGCGAACATTGTGATAGTGACCAGATTGAGGGCAACGCAGGCACAAGCTATTATATAAAATGTCAGAGAGATAGTTACAATATGCTTGCACTCTGTATGCGGCTACACACACAATCTGTTCGAAGCGTTTCACGGATTCTCTGCATCAGTATCTCATCGGGTTCGTGATCCGTCTATAACTTGAATGTGGAGCCATCTCATTAAAATTCGATCTTCATCTTCTAAAGTATACCTCTCACTGAGGAATGAATATCAGAGATCGGAATTTAATGAGATTGAAACAAAATGTGGAAACCAGAGACAAAATGTCTTGCAGACATTGCTGTATTTGAAAACAGAATGGTTCTTGTAGTGGCATATACCATTAGAATAAATTAGAGATAACCATCGAGCGCTCATTCCAAACGCTGCTTAATCCCAAGATGAAGCTTACGTTATTGTGCTATTTTGGACGCGATGTATAATTTGTACAAAGTGTTGCCGTTTTCTGTCAGGTGAACAATTGGCTTGCTTTTGCATGTGTTTGTGTCGTTGCTATGGGTGATGGAGAATTATCTCCCTTTAGGAAGACCAGGTGTAATTAACTTTTGACATTGATCCATAAACACATGCTTATGATATTATGATACAGTCGGATTCGCACAAATGATTCTGTGTCTAGAAGAATGTTTTTATAAATATACAAACGGTTTTGTCGCTTTTGTTGTACAACGTGTGATTATAACAAAAAAAGGTCGAGAAATTATGTCATATGTTCCTCTAAGTCTTCCAGTATTTTGGTATCGTTCAGGGGCTTCATATAATGGCGGAAAACGGAACTTAATTGACGGGAGACATTTCTTCAGGAAGCGCCATGGTCTTATCAGCTGATGTGCACATTCCGCTTTGAACAGTGTTCAAGTTATGTGATGGATGTCAATTTCAATCAGTAGGGGGCGGTGGGGTAGCCTAGTGGTTAAAGCCTTCGCTCGTCACGCCAAAGACTCGGGTTCAATTCCCAATATGGGTACAATGTGTGAAGCCCATTTCTGGTGTCCCCTGCAGTGATATTGCTGGAATATTGCTAAAAGCTGGGAAAAACAAAACCCACCTACTAAAACAGCAGATGACCCTTCCTTGATAACCCAGTGTATTATACCGTTATTCTTTTGGACTGAATAATAAGGACACGTTTAGTTCTATGGCCTCGCCGGATCCAGTTTAAATATTAAGTTAAAAGTAGTCGTAAAAAAAGCCTACTCTCACGGGCGATAGAAATTCAGTGCTAATTAAGAGACGACAAATGATGCATCTTGTAACGTCGAAACGAACCTATTGTAAGTCCAGGGTATGTATCGGTATAGAATGAATAATGTCCTTGACGACCGAGGATGATACAAGCCGTAGACCTTAAACATTATTATGAATCCGTCGAATACAGACCAAGTCGTGATAGGCGGATTACACTCTATATAATAATATACAAATGTTTGCCCAGTCGAAAATGTTTCAAGGGTATATACTTCGACTTTGTGTTAACGTATGACTGAGCGAGTGAGTTTAGTTTTACGCCGCTTTTAGCAATATTCCAATAATTTCACGGCGGGGAACACCAGAAATGGACTTCACACATTGTACCCATGTGGGGAATCGAAACCGGGTTTTCGGCGTGACTAACGAGTGCTTTAACCACAAGGATACCCCACCGTCACGTTAACGTAAGAGGTCTGCTGTAATGCATACACTTAAGGCTGAAGATATGCATCAGAACAGCTCGAAAACACAAGGAACGCATATGCTTGCGATACATAGTAACGTAAACATTTTTAGGCTTTGTAAACAATGACAGTTTGTTCAGGGTAAACCGCTTTGTCCGACATTACATGCGGAAGCCATCGCCAACACGGCCTTTGTTTTCAGGAGAAACACAGCCCATCTTCTGAGACGCAGTAAGCTTCTCATGGGGAGAGAAAGGTCATGTAATTATCTTTATTAAAAATACATTCTAAATATTTCTTACAGACAACAATATTTATCTTAAAATATATATATTTTCTTAACATTGATGAAGAACGTATAGGCATATACTTAACATTGTTTTTAAAAGCTAAAACTATTTATATAAATAGAAAAATGATAATATAAACTGATATGTCTGCATAGACAACCTTTCATCTAAAAAGAAAAGGATAATGTATACTAATATGTCTGTAGATATTTGAAGGTAAACTACCGGCCAAAAGAAAGTATACACTTGAAAATTGGATTTCACAAAAATACAACTGTTATCTCAACGTAACGGGGCGATAATAGTCGCCCAAACACAGCACTGCGATACTACTATCAAATACATCACCATTGAAAACCCATTAATTGTTGGCCAACATCAGATATGAGTGTATGCTTTGTTTGCCCTGGTAGTTTATATTCCCACGAGTCATGCGTTGTCAGAATAAATGTTTGATGCTAAATTTGATGACATTGATAACGCTGGATATTTCCATATAATGAGTGTATGAAAATAAATCACAAGATAACGAGAACAAAAGTGACATTTAAAATACAGTTAATTATTCAAACGTACAAGGAATCAAATGTGGAGAATTAATTAATTATAACGGATTCATTCTTAATTTCGGCCACGCGAGTATTTATAGTCAATTGTCATATGGGAAGCAGTGATCTTGTTGTCTATGACTTTCATGTTGCTTTGCAGAGTTCCGTCCCTTAGCAGTGCCAGGCTCTCGTACTCAAACCGTGGACGTGGGTTTCATCTTATTTCAAAGAGGTCAACATCTGAATGGGTGAGTATCGCTTTACGCCGCTTTTATTAGCAATATTGATAATGATCATA